TGATATAAAGTTGGCGGCAGTAGTGTTTGCTCTACATATATGTCGCCAGTATATATGTGGCGTACATGCGAATGTGTTTACCAACCACAAGAGCCTTTAGTATGTTTTCAGTCAAAAGGAGTTGAATCTTAGATAGAGATGGTGGCTAGAGTTGCTTAAGGACTATGATATGAGTATCATTTATCACCCAGGTAAGGCTAATGTTGTTGCTGATGCTCTTAACAAATTATGCATAGAGAGTACTGCTAATGTTGAGGAAAAAAAAAGGAGTTGGCTAAATAAGTGCAAAAATTTGCACGTTTGGGAGTCCACCTTGTAGACTCCAATAAAGGTGGAGTTATTGTGCTGAATGGGGTTGAATCATCCTTGGTGGCGGAAGTGAAGGAAAAGCAAGACAAGGGCTCTATCCAACTTGAGTTCAAGGAAAATATTCATAAGCAAAAGGTGATGGCTTTTGAACAAGAGGGAGATAGTGTATTAAGGTATTAAAGTAGGTTATTTGTTCTAAGTGTTGATGGTCTCCAAGATAGGATCATGGAAAAAGCCTATAGTTCTAGGCATTTGATTCATCCAGTTTCCACCAAAATGTACCATGACTTGAGAAAAGTCTATTTGTGGAATGACATGAAAAGAAGTATTGCAGAGTTCGCTGCTAAGTGCCTGAATTGCCTGCAAGTCAAGGTTGAGAACCATAGGCCATATGGTGTGGCTTAGAACATAGCTCTTTCAGAGTGGAAATGGGAGATGATCAATATGGACTTCATTATTGGGTTACCACGATCTCACCAACAACATGACTCAATTTGGATGATTGTAGATCGGATGACTAAATCAACCCACTTCTTATCGGTAAAGACAACATATTCAACAGAGGACTAAGAGAGATTGTACATTTATGACATAGTTCGACTTCATGGAGTTCCATTGTCCATCATTTCAGATAGGGGAGGTCAGTTCACCGCTCAGTTTTAAAAGTCATTTCAGAAATGTTTGGGTTCAAAGCTAAATCTTAGTACCATTTTTCATCCTCAAACAGATGGTCAGGCAGAGCGTACAATTGGGACTCTAGAATATATGTTGAGGGCTTGTGTCATTGACTTCAAGGGAAATTTAGATGACCACTTGCCTCTTATAGAGCTTACATACAATAATAGTTATCATTCTATCATTTAGATGGATCCTTGTGAGGCTCTTTATGGATGTAGGTTTATATCTCTAAAGGTTGGTTTGAAGTTGGTGAAGCTGAGTTGATAGGGCCATACTTGGTTCATCAGGCTATGTAAAAGGTAAAGATCATCCAATAAGGGTTGAAAATAGTAGAGTCATCAAAAGTCCAATATTGATGCTAGGGGAAGAGATTTGGAGTTGAAAGTGAATGATTGGGTCTATTTGAAGGTTTCATCAATGAAAGGTGTTATGAGGTTTGGGAATAAAGTGAAGCTCAGTCTTTGATATATTGGTTCCTACTATATGTCAAAGAAGGTTGGTAATGTAGCTTATGAGTTATAGCTACCATTAGAGTTAGCGGTTTTCCATCCAATATTCCATATCTCCGTGCTTAAAATTTTCTTGGTTAATCCTTCACTCGTTGTGCCCACAAAAAGTGTTGGTGTGGAAGACAATTTGTCCTACGGAGAGATCCCAGTTTAGCTTCTTGATTGTCAGGTTCGCAAGTTGAGGACCAGAGAGGTTGCATCAGTCAAAGTATTATGGAGGATTTAGCTTATTGAAGAGTCTACATGGGAAGCCGAAGAGGATATGAAAACAAGATACCTCGTATCTTTCCCTCTGGTCTAATTTAAGTTTGAGGTATTAGTTCCTCATATGTACTCTTTTGGATTTATGCATTTCAACTATTCTCATGTTTTCCTATGCATGTATATTTATGAAATCAGTTTTAGACTTCATTTTTTAGCCCAGTGTCTATCACTGCTCAGTTTTATGCATTATTGTGTGTTTTGCAATCATGTTGGGCTGTTAGATCTTTCCCTACTCCAATCATGCTTAGTTGAATCTCATTGGAGAACAAATATTCCTAAAGTCAAATACTATAACACCTCAAAAGTGTAAAAATTAGTTTAGGTGCAAAAGTTATTGGTGTAGTACTTCACGAGGGCATTGTACAGACCGTCAATGGATGTACAACTTGTGTATATGCCTCGTGATTGACACTTAGAATGGGAGAATATTGGTTCAGTATTTATGAGTTGATTTTATGATTCGTGGTTAGGTGTACGGGTCGTGGAAATGGCTCGTAGACTTGAGTTCAGAAAGTTGGAGAATTGTAAAGTCTTTGACCCCTTTTTTACGATCCAACAGGACAACTCGTTGTTGGGAAGACAAGCTGTATATGGGTCTCGTAGAAGTATTCTTCAGACTTAGTGATTTCAGTACCTTGGGTCTACAGATGGCATTGTACGGATCATACAATGGACCAAAACTCATAGATGATTGGTCGTGGTTACCCTTCAGGGATTTTTCAAACTCAATGTACGAATGGGTTCTACGACTCATCGATTGGACTACAGGTCGTGAAAGTGTTTCATGGTTTCTTGTTAGAGACTTCAACTTTCTGTAAGGGTATCTACAAGTGGACAGTACGGTCCATGGAAGTTTGTATGGACTGTAGATGGCCTCTCGTAAACGGTTCTTCTAGTTTTAAGTGGGGTTATTTTAGTCTTTCCCTAACCCTTCTAAGACTAAACCCCGACGTTTTTACACTTAATTAAGGTTCTTTTCAGTTTAGTTCGACCCTAACACTCCCATAATCATTCTGAAGACTTGGAGCACGGATCTAAGAGGAGAAATCTAGGGTTTCCAGCATCCTTTTCAAGTTCTTCAAGAAATTTGTTCTTTTATGTATGTAAGGCTATTCGTAGTGATAGATTAAGTTCGTCATCACGCCTTACATCAAAATTTAGTAAGTAAGAGTTAAATCTAGAGTTCTACCCAATGTTCCATGAATTATGAGTTCTGATTTCTTATTATTGAGATTATAGTACTTTATACATTGTGGTTTTGAATTGTTGTTCATGCCTATTTATTCACATGAATCTTATTTAGTTGAGAATTGTTGAAAGCTTTTCCATAACTATTTTCATGCATTGATTTTTGAATTAAAGTAAATTCAAGCATTTTAAGTGATCATTTGAGAAGAATTTTAAGAGGACATTAATAGTTCCAAATGCATTATTTTGTATTGAGAAATGCATTGCTAATTTAAGAAGAGCATAAATAGTTTCAAAAGAAGTTCCAGTCAGTAAAGTAAAGATTAGTTTTCCCAAAGAGGGCCTTTGAGTATTAACTCAACATAGTTATTATTATTTTTATGAGCACTATGCATGTTTTGGGAGTAATATTGAGCATCAATTTGGGTAAGAGTTAATACAACTCAAACCCCATAAACAGTGTTGTCAGTGTAGATATGACGGTGCCGTTAATTTGGGCAACTCCTAACAAGCCTCGTTTAGGGCTTTTTAGATGGATCCACAAGTTGAGTTTTTTGTCCTATGCTCAGGCAAAGTATATGATGGTTCTGGCAACATGGGCAAGACATTGTACACTCACAAGGCTCATAGTGATAGTTGTCGGTTAGAGAAACTCCCCAAGAAAAGTAAAGTATTATTTTAGAAATTGTTATGCATTATCCTATTCAAATGTAAATCTTTTCTCGTTTTATTACATTGTATGCTTTACTTTCAGTCAAGTTATTTCAGTATTCATTTAGTTCCTTTATTCAGTTCAGTTGTTATTTCATTGAGTCCTATTACATATCATATATTACATGTATTGACCTCATACGACATTGCATTATTTTATGATGCAGCTACAAGTGTCTAGGATCATCAATAGGCGTTCCATTGAGATTACATATTCGTCAACTTTTGGTGAAACCTCCTTGCTTTCGTAGGACTCGAGTCTTCATACTTTATTAGTACTTTTAAGGTAGCTGTGGGTTTTGTCTCGGCACCTATCTTCAGTTAGTAGTGCTTCATGGATAGACAAGTTAGAGAGTTATTTTCAGACAATTTATGAGATTGAGCTTATTATTTTAAATGTTCATCAACTTAAGCTTTCGTATGCATGTGTTTAGTCTTTCACTAAGTAGTCAGGCAGGCCAAGGATTCGCTTGAGGACCAGCAATATTCTTCGAGTATCGATCACGTCCAGGGTGTAGGATCGGGACATGACATCAAGTCTCATGACAGGTCTCAGATTGGGGTCAAGAGCGCGTCTCGGGTCTCGAGTTGGGGTCAAGTAGGAAGTTAGGTCTCGAGTTAGGGTCGGGAGTCAAGTCATGTGTCTCAAGTCAAGTTCTTGGTCAGGGTCGGATGGTAAGGTTGAAGGAGATTTTTAAAAGATATTTTACTATTATGGACAGAAGTCATTATCCTTAAATTGGAAGAAAATAAGTCTATTTGGAAAACATTTTTCATAACATTTAAGCCACCAACAAATAAGAAAATCTTTCAAATGTTTTCTTTCCTGCCAAACACACCGTAAATAGCTTGTTATTTCGTAAAATGTGAAATGTTTTAAAACAAATTCACTTTACTAAAAGGACAAATATTTGGGAGAGGTGGTATTATTATAAGAGATTCAAACTTAAAAGATTCTCATTCCTCAATCATAAATAATAAATATTGGTTGGTTCACGAATTTCATAACCTCGAAAGTATGGATTGATACACAGAACCAAGTGGAAAATCAGGGCGTCAGCACTCTTATTGTCTAATGTTGTTTTCTTTATTTATTACTGGCTATTTCTAATCATAGTTGTCCACTATATTATAAATAGTTATCCAGCAATACTTGTCCAGTTTAGAAAATCAAGAGATAATATATTTTTTGTGTCTATTTTACCGTTGCTATTAAATACTATTGTTCATCTAATACATTTCTCAAAGCATTAAATTAAATAAAGTCAAAGGATAAAATAGTAATATTACCCCTATTATTTATTGTTTCTTAAGGGTTGTCAAATCAATAGTGGACAACTATCGTTGGACGGAGGAGTATCATATATACAACTACATGTTACAACTAAACACATCTTTTAAATTACCACTTTGCTTTCCTAGGATTGGCAGCTTAATTTACATGCAAATTGAGGCTGGTGAAACTTAAACAAAATTAACAAAGAAAGGAAAAAAATATATATAGTTACCATCAAGTCAGCCCTTTTGATAGAATAAATCATATCCAACAATGCCCTGCATGTAGAACATGTTTTTGAATCATTAGATAGAAAGATTTTATCCTTTTTTATTCATCTATAGTGGAATGATTCCCTCCATTGAAAACTAACATTCACCTACCATTTCTCCCTCACTAGAAAAAGAGAGGTAAAAAATCTCAAGAAAAATTCATTAACCAGATAAGAACAACATTCAGAATATATACAAGGACGCACCTAGCGGCCTATAGATATTGGTTTATGTGAATTCAGTAGCTTTTGTTAAGATTTACAGAAAAAATTATAAATGCTTGGCTATGAGGCAATTAAAGCTAGATTATTGTTGGGAAACTGAATCAGAATAATCTTGCTATTATAATATGAAAATATATATATATGAAGTTTACCTCCATGTGCATGACTGGAATTAATCTTCTATACATTTAGTGTTTGTGTTGTGTTTTCTGTTCTTTCCCTATTAGCAAACCACTTGACTGTTCTCCTTGCAATTGGAAGCCAAAGTTTCCTCCTCCTTTCATCCCGGACTGAAAGCTCTCGATTCCTGTTGTTGAATCTTGAATACAGTATAATTTCTGACATGGATCTCTTCTCATCTGCAACAAGACATTTTGATTTGATTAATTTGCTATCAAACAATCTTTTCCTTTCCATTTCATCCTTGATATTGATCGATTGCTCTTCTTCTATCACTGTGGATTGCTCAGCATTTCTATCCATTGATGAGAATCTATTGCTTGTCATGCCATTAAGCATTTCTGAATTCAAGAATATCAGGTCTGAAGAAGTGACATTGCTCCATCGATTCTTGAACACAACATCTGATACTATGATCCTATGATTGAACCTGTGTAGTTCTTTTTCTTGTATTGGCAACTCTTCGGTTCCATTTTCCTCCCTTTCAATATAGATTTCCAAGTTTGATTCGTCATCTCTTACTAGCTCCTCAGACTGACTCCACAAGAATCTCAAACTATCTGAATATGTAAGCAATGAAAGGTCTTCACAACTTATCTTATGCCTGCAAAGAGGGCAGGTTGAATGTTTTTCCAGCCATTGATCAATACAGTTAATATGGAATGCATGTTTGCACATTGGAATCAATCTAAGAATTTCAATATCTTCAAATTTTGATAAACAAACACAACATTCAAGTCCTTGTTTTGATCCTCTCAGTAAAGAGAATCTGAAAAAAGGGAGTGATTCCACCACAGTTTTATCGATACCTGAGGAACGAGACACTGATCGAACAAGTCCTCCATCATTCTGAATATGAGAAGATGCCGTATGACAAAACTTGGCATAGAGGAGTAGAAAAAAAGTTAGTGAAAACATGATAAAGAGGACACCAATAACAACAGCAAGGCTTGGTTGAAAACTGCTAACAACATCTTGTGAAGAAGAAGTTGGCAAATCTTCAGCTTTTACATTCAATGAAAGAAGTAGTAACATGAAAATACTCTTGTGCATCTCTTTATTTGTTGTACATGTGTGAGGGGCAAGTTTTAAAATTTGGAATTATGTAAATAAAGTGATGGAAATGTGGGAAGGCTTAAACATGAACACATATATTCTTCTGCTAATAAAAGAATAATATCACCAACAACGGAGCTAAAAATTTTATTAAGGGTGTCCAAGAATAATGGTGCGTGAATTACAAAATAAAACAATAAGAGTGTCCAAGAATAATGGTGTATCGACGTCAAAATAAAACAAACAAAAAAACTATTGTGCTATTTTGGGTTTGAATGTGAAACTCTTTCTTTCAAATGGATACTCATTACCACTGCGTCAAAGGCATTACTTTTGTCAAGGGGTGTCCAACTTTAAAGATATATCCATTGAATGTTGAATTTGACATATATGTACAAAATAATTTTTCGATGAAGGATGTTCAGTTGGACATCCTGAGATGGCTATAGCTACGCCCCTGAATATCACGATCTTTTACCTACTCAATTTTGACCACATCATCTCACTCATAGCTAGAGCACAACTAGCCAGGGGACAACTTTCTATATTATTTTCAGTATAATCCGAAAGGCATTGACTTGACTAATTTAGATTTAATGGAATGTCGACGTTTTCTCAAAAAGAAAAGTCGATAATAATTAAACAGAAAATCCGCATGGTTTTGTGCCAAAAGCACATGGATGAATGCTGAAGAGTAAAAGAACTTTTTGGTTAGTCAACAGAAATGACAGATAATGTATTGGTGCTTCTTTGATAAGAAAAAATAAAATTATTTTCTTGGGTTAGGTTGGATGATATTAGATTATTAGTTAGTACCTCTTAAGCACGTCTTAATATGATATGATATAAGCCATCACTAAACACTAGTTGGCATATTGGAGATAGATTAATACTTTATAATTTATATTCATAACAAGTATCCCCTCCATTTCATTTTAAAATGACAATGATGGTGAAGGTGGAGCAAGTGTTAGTGGTGGAAGAATAAGTAAATGGAAGGAGTAAATTAAAATGAGTTGCGCGCTGGCGTGGTATGCCATGTGACGTTCACCTCATTAAAGTGTTAGTATTATGTGGGGATTCGATGGACACCTTTCACAACGCTAACAGAAGGGGTATATTTGAACCATTTAAATAACTGCAAGAGTGATTATATACAAATAGTATAGTGGAGTGTGAAAATGATCCTTGGCCATTTACCATTATAAATTTCAGTAAATATTTTAAAGCATTATTTGCAGGTAGGTTGGGTCATGACCCGCCCAGATTTACTTTGGGCTCAAATGGGCTAAAAATCGAGTTGGATCATGACTCATCCAATTTAATCTGCTTAATCTCAATAATTTTAACATTTGCTATTTAACTTTTATAACTACAATTTAAATTTCAACTCAATTTTTTTTTAAAAAAAGTTACAAATTGATAGATAAATCCTAAAGGACATAAAATAGATAGTAATTCATACCTTCAATATAGGAACATCTATTATATCAATACAAATAAAAAGCCTCAAAACGGGTTGAAATTGAAGATTAAATTAGACTCAATTGAATTCTCTTAAAATAGGTTAAGGCTTGAATGAGTTGAGATTTAACTCAATTCAGATTATTTTGAGTTAAACCCTTGAAATTCTAGACGGGTTACCTATATTTGGGCTATTTTTGACAAGCTTTTCCACAGTGGTCAGATATCCACAGCAAACAGTAGCCAGCCCTTGTACTTCATATCACCCTTTGGGATTTGGGTCATAAACCATTTTGACTACAAGGAGGCAACTAATTTAGCATTTCAAACAACAGTCTGCAATAACTTTTTCTGTTTCCTTTTATAAATAAGGGTGGTGTCCAAACCAACCATGACTATTACCTGCTAACTCCCACTAATACGTCTTACCAACTAACTCTATTCTCCAAGACTTAGGCAAATGCAATGAAAAGTTTAAGCAAGAGAAGCCAACACTGCAAAGCCTCTTTAGACAAGCTCAGGGCGAAAGACCAAATTAAAGATAGACTCAAAGGTCGAAGACGATGTCCTCTAGAAGCTGACCGGTGACTTCAGTTACATGAAAGTGATGCTCGATGTGGTTAACTGTAAAAAAAACCTCATATTTACATGCTTGGCACCTTGTGACACTCCTTTAGCTTGCACCATAATAACTGGGAGTAACAAAAAAATGGACTTTCCTTTTCAATAGGCCTTCCAGTGCAATGAAATAGAAAGCCCCAAGAGAGTGCTTATGATATGCTTGATAAGGAAAAGGTCATAATTTATTACAAATATTTGGCTAGCATATCAGTTTCAGAGGATACACTAATACAATTTAATGGGATATGTGCATATGCATTAAGAAATCTGCACTCATTCATTTGAACTATATAATATAAAGATGCTTCTGCTTCCTACAATTTATTTAGGGATACAATGAAAAAGCTTACTTCATTCTTCGACATATGATTTCATATCCTAAATCAGCTTTGTGCAGACGCAGCAGGATTGCTACTTGGAAACGATGAAACACCAGCACCACCTTCTTGACTAGTTTGCTCTTCGCTAGCATGCCGTACAAACTCTTCCGGTGACATGTGAGACCCATGACAAGCACAAACAATCCTGATTTGGGTGGGATTGTATCTATAAGTAACACCAGATATTGTTCTACCATTTGGACCTGGACCAGTTGTTGAAACCCATGGTAGATTCGGATAGGAACCAGATCCTCCAAATTTCAGATCTGCAGCAAGACCTGGCCTTATAGTTGCAAATTCTGAAGGAACTGCTTCTGCTCTGGGCTGCTCAGGAGGGTCTTTTGACCTGAAGCTTATGTTGCTACCTTTAACATTTTCTTCCGCTCGAGAAGTGGAAGTTTCTTCCGCGTTATGCTGTCTCCCATTGCCTTTCACATGCTCCATTACCCTCCCATCATATTGTACAGATTCAGAAGACTTGTGTGGAATAATCGGCAAAGTAGCTATATAAACATAGCAAGTACAACTTCTTAGTCACAAGGCTGGACAATTATTGAACTAAGAAATCATGCCCATTGATGCAGCAGTCTGTGCATGATTTGAAATGCAATAAATTTGAAGTTTTGGGAACTTCTGGGCATCTCATGCAACAGATTAAAAGTTGTATGAAATTTGTGGTAATGTTAAATCTATAAATCTCTAAATTAAAAGTTAAATTATGATATTACCCCTCTTATCAACCTAAATACCCTACAATCTAATAAAAAATGGAACAAAAATAATTTGTAATTGACATAAAGAGAAGCGACACATCTGTTCAAAAGGAACAAAGGGTAGTTCTTATAATCAAACAAAATCTCTGTTACTAAGAAAAACACCAAGCAGAGGGTAACTCTCAAATTTCAATCTCGTGCTTTTCTCCTTTACCAAGATTTTTTTACCTCTTTTAAGTATTGTGCAAATTTCAGTTAAGCTGATAAGTCAAATGTAAAAAATGTTATTGGGTTTATCAATACTGGGCTATATATTAACGATTTTCAAACAGTTTTGTTTTATAAAAGGTACAATTTCATATATATACAACAAAGTAATTAGTTTACAACAAATATAGCCATAAAGTTTTTTACATAAAAAGTAGCCCAAAAGCAAAAACAAAACGCGAGGTTTAGCCACGCGAGAACCGCGGCTATATGGGAGAAAAGCCGTGGGTAAGCTGCATTTTTTGTATCTCAAGGTATTTCTCACATTAAAAAAATGAAAACAATGTGATTGAACAAATTTCTAACCCTTCCATACATGTGACAAAAATAATTTCAAAAAAATAAAAAATATTGTACATGTAATGTATAGATATTGTGTAAATAGTAATGCAATGTATAGGTATTGTATACATAGAGTATAATCATGTATATATGATGTATATCTATGTATCAAAAATATACATACATCATTGTTTATACAATATATTATATATAAAGGGCTAATTTCAAATATATACAATAAAGTTATAAGTTCACAATAAATATAGCCATGTTTTATTTACATCAAAATAAAGTAAGAGGAAGTGTATACACTGAAATACAATCCATCATGCTAAAAGTCATAGAAAGTATACAATGATTATACAATATAGCTTGTCAAAAGTCATAGAAAGTATACATTGACTATACGATATGACTTATACAAGAACTATACACTACTATACATTATGATACACTCAAAAAGTTGAATAGAGCTTAACTATACATGAAGTATACACTGACTATTCAATCCCTATCAACTCAAAATCACCTCTAAATAGTCCCAAATTTTAGATATGAAATCCTCTCGATGTTTCTAGTATTTGATATATAATTCGCTCGAAACGATTTACGTTTTTGGTACGTCAAATTTTTCAATCAAGCAAGCTTTGAAACTTGTTGATTGATCATGGAGAATGAAGGAAGGAAGGAAGGAAGAAGAAGAAAAAGATATAATCTTATTGATCTTCAGTTGATTCTTATTGATTTTAGAGGTAGCGATAGAATTTGCTGCCTTTTTTACCAGTTTTCGCTTTTTTATTTCGTTCTTAAGAGGCATAGAAGATTGGAGATTGAAGAAGAAGAAGAAGAAGATATTTAATGGTTGATTGAAGCAATGACGAAGAAGAAAAAGACTCACAAAGGAGGCCAAAGAAGGTAGCAGAAGTAACGCACGGCTATTTTTTATTTTTTTGGGGAAAAAATAGGGTGAATGGCCATTTTAGGTAATTTAAATAAATTGGGCTATAAGATGGTAAGTAAACCTTGGCTGACAGTTTTCATAATTTTCCCTTATATTGGTCTATCATTTCCTTTTTTTCAAATTGAAGTTAGCTTGATTGGCCATTTTATTGATCATAAAAAAAGAAATTATTTACAGAATGAAAAATAGAGATTCAGCTTAAAACAAGGTCCAAATCTTGACCAAACAAAAATAAACAAAAAGAACAACAATACACTAAAGGGGAAAGTGAGGTCAAGGAGCTCAAAGGTTTTCTTCACCACATCGCCAATTCGGAGAAGCTTTCATCGGCGATTGGCCTATCTATTCAGTTATCAGTTCTTTGAGCTTACTTAACCATTAAACTAATAACCTATATTGCTCGGACTCTACAAGAATGTCGACGGGTGCATGTTGATCCTTCAAAAGTAGTGCATTTTTTAGGGACCCGATATGGGTGCGGCATCATTTTTGGGGAGTCCGAGCAACATAGCCGATAACCAAACGAAATCTTGTTTCCTTTTTATCCCTGGTTACATAAAAGTGATTTAAAATTAGAAACCCTATTCCTAATATTTTGTTTCTCTTTCATAAGTTTTGTTAGCTTGGCAAGATATAATTAAACAGATTTATGGTTCATAGCATACCTAAGATTTTCTACCCAGTGAATAGTTATATTGTTATCTCTCCAACAAAAAGCAAGTAAATCCCACCATGATATTTAC